GGCTTACAGCTTTATTTTCCTGCCTACTAGATGTGGGGAGTCTTCATCACTTGTAACATCATTGCATATCCAAAATTGGATATCAGAACTCATGTACTTACAGATTCATGGCTCAGTGAGGATACGAACATCATTCTTTATATAAAAGCACAGCTTATAAGTTATGGTCTAATGTTTTGATTATGTCTCTGCAAAAGAGGGTAATCTACACATATTTGCATTAAATCACTGCATTATCACTTCGTATATACATACAAATCTCTGTAACCTGACATTGTATTTCAATTTGTGATACGTTTCCATTAAGTGGTTAGGGAGTTCTCTGGCAATCTTGGTCTAGTACGAGAAGACAGAAATATGAGCCGAGGCACAGTGATAAAACCTTTTAAGCCTTAAACAAAGTGAAGCACTTCAAACCTTATAGCTTAAACCTCGGGCGCAGTGTGAAAGCCTTCCGTACAAGAGGGCAGATCTGTTCAGCAGACTTACTTTGATCTTGAGTAACAGAGAAAAGCCTTCTGTGGTGATCATTTAATGTATGTAGAATGAACCAATTTCAGTGCTTTAGGGCGTCTTCTGTACGTGCCATAAAAGTTAATTCAGTATTCAAGTTTAATCCAGATCTCTAGAGCGCATGCGCAATGGCAGCGTCCAGGATCAACTTTTATTTCATCTCTGGACCAGCATTCACTTTTGAGCTCGTAATTTAATCCTGGCATGCTAAGAATGAGCTATTTAATCCCACCAATCCGTAATGACAACTTGATAAGTCGTGGGATACTTAAACTGCAGACAAAAAAAAAACAATAAAAAAAAAAAAAAACGAAAGAAAATAACACAAAGAGTTTACAAATACAGAAAAGGCAATGTTATATCCAGGCTGGAAAAACAATCCCAACGTATGTATCATATCAGTAGACTTAAAAAAGAACGCTTTCAATAACATCACGTTTGTTCAATAACAAACCTTTTGAATCTTTATATTACAGTGCCTTCAAAACTGCGTGCAAATTTTATCATTTTCCTGCGAAAATAAATTGATGTATCTTTCGTTTGACACCTACATTTCTGTTCCCTTTATATGGATTTATTTGTCGTAACACAAATGCACATCCTCATGCTATAAGACTACCGTATATGTGTAAATATATATATATATATATATATATATATATATATATATATATATATATATATATATATATATATATTCTTTCTTTCTTTTTTTTAGCGTGTGATATGAAACTCAAATAGTTTGACTGCTAAAATCGACTACACAAATACTCGCTCTTATTGGAAAAGAGCAAATTTACTGATAATCGCATGGACGCGTGCGTCTGGTAGTGTGTACTACATCTGTGAAAGTACAGTGGATTTGGATGAAACTTTAATCTGGATTTAACGCTGCGTTCGGAACTGCTCGTCTATCTCGTCCAGCCCAGTTGGACAAGATGTTTTGACCGTTCGGAACCTCCACAATCTCGTCCCGGACAAGTATTCTAGCTCGTCCTACTCGCCCTCCTGCGAACCTGGGCGAACAGGACGAGATCACGTCACAATAGATTTTGTATGTAAACATTGACAGTTGTAGGTAACCGTAAGATATTGGTGGGTAATTTTATGACCCCTTATTGGTGTTATCAAAGGATATTTTTGTGTTTGTCAGTTGCAGGTAAGTTATATATGCATCAAAACCTATGCAGCGTGTAATAATAATAATAATAATAAATAAAATAAAATATAAAAGTGAATGTTTACATTCGAGCCGGTTGCATTCTGGGCAGAAAGAGTCTTGGAGGTGCGGAACGCGGCCCACTTGTCCTGCTGGTCCTGGACAAGGTGTCTGGACGAGCAAGACGAGCAGTTCCGAACACAGTATAACTTTTATGACGCGTACAGAAGAGACCCTTGTACAAGAAAAAAATCCTTTCAAGTTTTTTAACAGATACATTTTCATTAAAGGCACTTTAAACTCCAGAGACCGAAATAATCAAACCTGAATCTGCCATCAGCCCGACGCCGCCGCTGCTGAGATCAATGCCTTCATCAACGCCGAAACGCGAGGGAAAATACCAAAGCTTATAGAACCCTCCTTTGTTGAAGACGCTAAAATGGTCTTAACTAACGCCGTCTACATGCATGTATTAGTATCGTAATCCTGGGAAGTTAGATGTAAACCTCTGTTGGCCCTCAAGATGGTGGCTGAAGGGAAAATTGGCCCACGAAGGGTTTTGAGTTTTAAACACTCCGAGCTTACATATCATACCATTACTTCAGTAAAGATTCTGCGCATCTGGTTGTAAAATCGTTACATATTGGTAATAGATATCCCTGAAAGATTAAACTTAGTCTTGCTACTTGTTTATATCTAAACTGAGAGAGCAATAAACGATTATTTAATGAAATGAAAATACTGATAACCTATTAAAAACTGCTTTGCTTCTTGTAGCGAAATCATGACGCAAAATAGCTTTAAAAATAGCATCGTATCCACGCCTTCCTTCTCCAGACTTTACAGAAAATGGGAATACGTGACCTTTTCTTCTCCACCGCCGATCTGACCAACTTCACACCTGTTCGAGGATTACTGGTGAATGGAGCGATCCACAAGGCCCTTATAGAGGTGGACGAAGAAGGCGCAGAGGCGGCAGCGGCGACGGCGTTCGTTCTGAATAGGTCTCGTTCAATGCCTCCAAAGACGACGTTCACGTGCAACCGGCCCTTCGTTTTCTTCATTCAAGATAACGAGGCGAACAACATCCTGTTCATGGGGTTTATAGGGGTCCTTGAGGGTCCTCTGCTGGACCTTGTTATTATGGTTGGCATTGTTCTTATTGATTTTAACGCTATTATTATCATTATTTTTTATCGTTATTGTTACTGTTATCATTATTATTATTTTCTTGTTTTTATTCTCATTGTTATTATCATAAGGTATTATCATTGTTCTTGTTATTGTTGTCATAGGTATTATCATTGTTATTATCATTAAGATTATTATTATCATAATTATCATTATATTGAATATTAATTACATTCGATTGTTTTCTTATCCCTATTATTGCATTTCAACAATATCATTATTAATATTATAACTAGTGTTACATTTTTTTATTATTATGGTTATTATTATCATTACTACTGCTATTATTAATAACATTATTATTGTTATCATCGTTATTGCTACTGTTGTTATTGTTATGGCCAAATTTTGTTAGTCTCCCCTCTTTAAAACTAACACAAAGTCATTATCATTACCTTCATTTGTATGCCCCTAACTATACCGTAAAGGACCACGTACTGAAGACCCAGAGGAACCAACACTGTTCACACCCCTTCTGCATAAAGGAAAGTAAGCTATGCCAGAGTAAATCCATTGATATTAAGTTGCTCAGATAAAAGTAGTTGAAAAAATAATAGTTATTAAAACCACCTGGAATCATAATTATGTAAAGAGAAAAAAAAAAAAAAAACGTGAGCTGAGAATCAGATGAAGTATATCAACCCATTAAATCATAATCCTTCCTCACAAAAGATATATCGTTGTAAACCTGATTAATCCTACTGACGCTCCAGGTTGTTTAAAGCGTGAAAAGAAACAAGTGAAAAACATGAGCTAAGCTGCAATTCAGACTTTTTTAACACCAGATTCATCTTCCTGTAACGAAAATTTCATCAGTACTTTTCGCACATTGATGTCAATGTTCTGATAGAGGAGTAAAAGCTTTTTGAAGTATTTTCTTTGTAATCCACTTATTAATAAAGCTGCCATTCTTCTCTTTCCAAGAAAGAGGGTTAAACAAACCTATTTATCGATCCTAGTAGTGACGTTTCTGAAACTGTTATGAATGCGTGTGTGCGTCAATGATCAGCAGAAACAAATATCGGCTGATCTCCCAGCGCGAGGTTGCCTTGAGCTGAGGCACGGGAGCGGAATCGGCCGAACGAAGCCCAGAGTATTTTTACTGTAAAAAATCAAGTATTGGGGCAAGGATGAGGATATGTCCGATATGCGAAGCTGAGCTTCGCCCGGCCTGTGCCGACTAATGTTGACTCGATCAACGTGTGTCAGCTAGTGCAACAGAGGTTAGTCTTTACCCGCCGTGGTGCCCAGCCACAGCAATTACCTCAGGGCGACAATTGCAACTTCTCACACCTGGTCGGGGCGCGAACCGCCAACCCCTCGGATGAGAGACCGGCGCGTTACCACTGTACTATCCTGAAGGTTTAATGATAAGGCAGGTTTTTGGAGTATTTTATACCTAGGACATGATCTTGGGGGCCTGGGATTTGAGGGACGACCTGGGGAACTAGATGGTTTGGGAAAGCTTTGGGAACGTCATATGATTGCATCTGAATATGCAATAATTTGTTTGTTTGCCATTTCTATGAAATTTGACGGAAAACTTTGAATTTACTACAAATTCCAATAATGTGGTTTGTCAGAGGGTGACTATGGGATATCTTTGTCAAATATCATTAAAGAAAACAAAAACCAGGATTATTTTCTGATTTCCAATCCTATTAAAACTAACCAAACCACATTTTAAATCGTCATCTAGAGTATACTGTAGATTGAAGATGTGCATGTGTATATACATATTTTATGTATGTCATATATATGATGTATATCATATACATACACACATAAATATAATGTATTGCACATATTATCATAATTCATAATATATTTTACAAATATACCATATACATCATATATATCGTATCATATACATTATATATATCATATATACATTATATATATCATATACATATACTATATATATACTTTATATTATGTTTATATATATCATCCATTATATATATTGTTTCTATGATGTTATATTTTATATATATTTATGTTATACATGTGATATATATATTGTATATATGATATTTATTATATACATGTTATATAAATTGTATATATTATATTTCATATATATTATATATTATCTATATTATATATTTTATATATATATATTATATATATATATATATGTATATATTGATTACATATATTATAATTATTATATACATTATAGATTCCATATATTATATACATCATATATCACATACAGGTGGTCCCCTACTTGCGAACTTCCGAGTTACGAACTTCGGTACATGCGAACAAAGTTGTCAGGAGGGAGTGAGAGTAGTGCGCGCCTAAACAATAGCTCTCTCACTGTACCCACACGGTCTCATTCAAACGTGTGTTGTACGCTCTCCAGAAAACTTTGTGATTTTGTGATTATTTTTGTAATTATATTTTTGCTAATTACGTAAAATAAGAAAGTTTGGCCTAAATCTCTGACCCCTCCCCCGACATCCGCCTCCGGCTCTGATGTTTACTGTGTCGCGTCTGTGCAAATATACTCAACATTTTTTTTTTTTTTTTTTATTATTCATTTTGGTATTCTCTGGTAACTAGCTGGCAACTCTGTTTGCAGCACAGCTGAGTCACTACAAAGAGACAAGGTTGGCAGTCACCACAAGAGAGCGGAGCGAGATGAAGATCGTCCCATGCCTCGGGCGATACCATCCCTGATGCGCCCTCATCACATAATAGGCCACTACTAATGATCAATGTTATTCCTGTAACTAATAAGCATAATATGATGAGAAATACATCTCAATCACAGCTGCAGCAGTTTTTTATTTTCTATGAAATGCCTCGAGAAGCACTGCAAGCCTCTGGTGACATGCAGTACTTCTACAATCATGTGCACTCATTGCCATTAGTCCTTTGGAAAAAGGGGGGGGTACACTTCAGAATACATGTGAATGCCATAGAATGCATCAAGGTTGACTCAGATATCAGATTTTCAAAGAAAAAAAATGGAGGAAAAATATCCTCAACTTCAAAGCCTGATATCTCAAATCTTCGTTCGTACTAGATGAATCGTTCTACGGTACAATATCGGTACAATACTCAAGAACAAGGATAAAATCATGGACATGTGAAAAGTTCAGTCCCTATGCAGTCTACTGTTATCAGTAAGAAACGTGGAAAAGTGATTGCAGAATTTGAAAAACTTCTGAGCATTTGGATGAAGGTTTCAAAGCACATTAAAAAACACCGAAAACCACTGCATTGTTTATACCGGTACGTCCGAAAGTAGAGCTAGTTGTACAGTAATGAAAACATACCGTACGCCCTACTACGGACATACGAACATACGTACTTACGAACAGCCTACTGGAACGGAACATGTAACACGCGGACTACCTGTGTATTATATATACTACACATTATATATCATATACACTATATATATATGTATATATATGTATGTATCGCTAGAGGTTGGTAATATATATATAATATATCGGTACACAGTGGTAATATATATCCTTTAAAGATTAAACTTAGCCTTACTATTTTAAATCTAAAATTAGAAAGCGAAAAAACGATTATTTGATGAAATGGAGTACAGATAGATTATAACTTTTTTCTTCTTGTAACGAAATCATGACAAAATATCTTGAGCATCCTCTGTTGGACCTTTGTTATTATTATGGTTGGCATTGTTGTTGTTGATACCAATGTTGTTTTTGCCTTCATTATTATTGTTTTAGTTTTGTAATCTATACTGCTATTGTTGTGGTTATTTTTTTTTCATTGGAGAAAGCGAAACATAGAATTTATCTGTATTAACGAACACTTAGTTTATAATTCCAAATCACGTTTCTCGCTGCATGTCCTGCTGTCAAATAGCATCATTGCAATGTAAACGTGACCCGAATTTGCAACATTCGTTTCCCGTTTTAATTACAATTAAATGAACGCTGTTTGTGTTTTTGTTTTGAGAATATCAATTGGCATCTGTAATGTGTTTATTCTATAATGCATTGCACGACTCTGCGATGTATATCAGCGTGAGTCCCAGGCGCCCCTCATTAGTAGGTGAAAGTGCGTTGCGTTGAGACTTCTCGCGTTCGTCTGTCACTTTAGGTCGCTGCGTTGGTACTGGTGTCGAGACTCTCTTGGTGAGCACTGTGTACCGGTGTTTTGTATGATCTGTATGCTGATGTATATCATCGGCCGGTTTGTTAATACTGTGCGAAGCCTGACCTAATTATTATGAATATGAATGTAGACAGACAAATGCATATCTGCCGGATAGATAGATAAATAAATGTATATCTATCAGATAGATAAAGAAATAAGCCTTTATTTGCATGTCTTTATGTATGAATATTCATTGGGTCGGGCCTCGCACAATTTTAACAAACGTCTCGCACACAGAATTTCAAGATAATTTCATAACATATTGAAAGTGGTTAACATATGATGATCATATCACTAACCATTCATTAACAGTAAATATAGGACACCCTGTATGATCAGACGTTCATCTGTATGAAAATGTTAAAATTCTGAATATGAGAATCAAATCACCCCCAAAACATATATCTCTTTGTGATCAAATTCAGGTACAGGTTTTTCATAATAGTTCTGATTTGTAGTGTATTAATTAAATCTTAGTTTTGTAACAAATGTACACTTACACAGAGATGCGTGGCACCAAAGAGCATAAAAGACAATAAAGTACGGTATGTGTTTCATTGTATCATTATTATGGAATTATGAATAAAGCAGATGTAGAGGGGTAGTAAAATATTCACAGGAACAGCCTCGCTACCTCAGTAATCTGTAGCTTGGTAAAGTCTCACCACAGACCATCTTTGGTGTTTTCTGTTTTATGTGAATATTCCGATTTCGTAAGGAATTTATGGTACTGCAAATCGCATATGGTAACTGTTGACTGCTGATGTGTTGAGGTGACTGAAAGATATTGCGCCGCTCTCTCAGCATTTTGCCTCCCACCTCATAAGGTCTATTTACAATATTGTTAGGCGAACTTGCAATATCGGTTATATGTTTCCTGTGCAACCCATAGTTTTGCGTATACTGCAACCCGTGTTTGAGTCACTTGTTTCTAAACCGTGTTCATTGCGTCAAAATAATAAGACCGGATATCTTAATAGTGCTAATGTATCTGGCTCGCTTTTGTCTATAGTTAGAAATAAATAATATTTTGACGAAGATATTATATATATGTGCGTGTGTGTTTCTATATTCAAATATACACATACATATGCGTGTGTGTTTCTATATTCAAATATACACATACATATATGTGTTTGCGTGTGTTTCTATATTCAAATATACACCATATGTGTGCGTGTGTTTCTATATTCAAATACCAGTGTGTGCGTGACCTTTCAGAACCATGAGAGTGTGCGTGCTGCTCCCCGCCCTCGCCCTCCTGTCGCGGGCCAGCTGTCAGTGCCTCTCCTCCGACACCTCGCCGCCCCCGCGGCTCCCGATTCTCAAGCAGTCGACCCCCTTCCTCGACTTACTCCAGAAGGCTCTCCCTCCGTCGGGGAACTTCTTCATCTCGCCCTTCAGCGTCTGGAGCGCCCTCGTCCTCGCCTACTTCGGCTCCCGAGGCAAGACGAAGGCGGAGCTGGAGCAGGTTCTGCGGCTCACCAACAGGGAGGACACGCTCGCCCTGTTCAGGGCCCTCGAACGGCGGTGAGTGGTTGACGCGATTAAACCTACCGAGTGAACCGTTAAGAGAGGTGGTAGGTAGATGGATATATATAAGTGTGTGTGTGTGTGTGTGTGTGTGTCACTGTGTCCCATGCAACAACGACAAAAAGATTTTTTTCATTTCATATTACTGATATATACTATATGTGTGTACAATATATATATATATATATATATATATATACGTACCCGAGAGAGAGAGAGAGAAATGGACATGAATAAAACCTTGATGATAAAAAGGATCATGATTTTATAATGCAAGTAATAACATTATCAGATAATAATTTCTAAAATAATTAACAACTGCAGTTATGGCTCCCAAGAAGCAAACCAGAACTACACCATCAACTCGGCTAACAGGATATACATCGACCAGTCCATTCCCGTCCGAGAATGCGTGGGAAAAGTCCTCGACGACAAAGTGAAGTTCACAGACTTTAATAATAGGGTAAAAACTAGGCTTACAGTTTTATTTTCCTTCCTAATAGATGTGGGGAGTATTAATTTTGTAACATCACTGCATATCCAAAATTGGATATCAGAACTCATGTAGATACAGATTCATGGCTCAGTGAGGATACGAACATCATTCTTTATATAAAAGCACAGCTTATAAGTTATGGTCTAATGTTTTGATTATGTCTCTGCAAAAAGAGGGTAATCTACACATACATTTGCATTAAATCACTGCATTATCACTTCGTATATACATACAAATCTCTGTAACCTGACATTGTATTTCAATTTGTGATACGTTTCCATTAAGTGGTTATGGGAGTTCTCTGGCAATCTTGGTCTAGTACGAGAAGACAGAAATATAAGCCGAGGCACAGTGATAAAACCTTTTAAGCCTTAAACAAAGTGAAGCACTTCAAACCTTATAGCTTAAACCTCGGGCGCAGTGTGAAAGCCTTCCGTACAAGAGGGCAGATCTGTTCAGCAGACTTACTTTGATCTTGAGTAACAGAGAAAAGCCTTCTGTGGTGATCATTTAATGTATGTAGAATGAACCAATTTCAGTGCTTTAGGGCGTCTTCTGTACGTGCCATAAGAGTTAATCCAGTATTCAAGTTTAATCCAGATCTCTAGAGCGCATGCGCAATGGCAGCGTCCAGGATCAACTTTTATTTCATCTCTGGACCAGCATTCACTTTTGAGCTCGTAATTTAATCCTGGCATGCTAAGAACGAGCTAGTTAATCCCACCAATCAGGTATTGATACGTAATGACGTCATCAACTCCATAAAAAAGGATGAAGTTGAGCTGCGATAAATGTTTATTGATGAAACTAATTCTGGCATTTTTATGCTACAGACATTTATCAACATGTATTTTCATAAGTCGTGGGATACTTAAACTGCAGAAATAACTCTCAACAATAAAAAAAAAAAAAAAACGAAAATCCCACAAAGAGTTTACAAATACAGAAAAAGCAATGTTATATCCAGGCTGGAAAAACAATCCCAACGTATGTATCATATCAGTAGACTTAATAAAGAACGCTTTCAATAACATCACGTTTGTTCAATAACAAACCTTTTGAATCTTTATATTACAGTGCCTTCAAAACTGCGTGCAAATTTTATCATTTTCCTGCGAAAATAAATTGATGTATCTTTCGTTTGACACCTACAGTTCTGTTCCCTTTATATGGATTTATTTGTCGTAACACAAATGCACATCCTCATGCTATAAGACCGGTATATATATATATATATATATATATATATATATATATATATATATATATATATATATATATATATATATATATATATATCTTTCTTTTTTTTTTAGCGTGTGATATGAAACTCAAATAGTTTGACTGCTAATTCGACTACACAAATACCCGCTCTTATTGAAAAAGAGCAAATTTACTGATAATCGCATGGACGCGTGCGTCTGGTAGTGTGTACTACATCTGTGAAAGTACAGTGGATTTGGATGAAACTCTAATCTGGATTTAACGCTGCGTTCGGAACTGCTCGTCTATCTCGTCCAGCCCAGTTGGACAAGATGTTTTGACCGTTCGGAACCTCCACAATCTCGTCCCGGACAAGTATTCTGGCTCGTCCAACTCGCCCTCCTGCGAACCTGGGCGAACAGGACGAGATGACGTCACAATAATTTTGTATGTAAACATTGACAGTTGTAGGTAAACCAAGATATTGGTGGGTAATTTTATAACCCCTTATTGGTGTTATCAAAGGATATTTTTGTGTTTGTCAGTTGCAGGTAAGTTAAATATGCATCAAAACCTATGCAGCGTGTAAAAATAATAAAATAATAATAATAATAATTAATAATAAATAATATTAAAATAAAATAAAAAAAAATGTTTACATTGGAGCGGTTGCATTCTGGGCAGAAAGGGTCTTGGAGGTCCGAACGCGGCCCACTTGTCCTGCTGGTCCTGGACAAGGTGTCTGGACGAGCAAGACGAGCAGTTCCGAACGCAGCATAACTTTTATGACGCGTACAGAAGAGACCCTTGCACAAGAAAAAAATCCTTTCAAGTTTTTAACAGATACATTTCTTTAAAGGCTCTTTAAACTCCATTGACCGAAATAATCAAATCTGAATCTGCCATCAGCCCGACGCCGCCGCTGCTGACATCAACGCCGAAACGCGAGGAAAAATAACAAAGCTTATACAACTCTCCTTTGTTAAAGGCGCTAAAATGGTCTTAACTAACGCCGTCTACTTCAAAGGCTTTTGGAAATACCCGTTCAAGCCTCAAAGGACCCACAAGGACAAGTTTTTCGTAACCCCGGAAGAGTCTGTCCAAGTGGATATGATGTCGCAAACGAGAAGGTTCTAATATAGTAATGTTTGGGAGTTCTTCCTTTACACAAAATGAACCTCCCTACCTTTCCTTGTGTCCAGTTTCCGTTATTACATTTATTTTTCCATTTACTTTGCGTTTGTATCGATTTGTCGCAAATCAAAATCAATTATGTGTACATTAGGTGTCTCTCTTTATGGCAACACGTACATAATTCCAGCACAGAACAAGTTACCTTACAATTTAAGGAAATCGTAAAATGAATCACGTTATTATCACGAACTTCAAATATGTCCAACTCCGTTTCAGTGGACTCGAAGGAGTTTCGCGCCCAGGTGCTGGAGATGCCCTACAGGGGCGACAGCGCGTCCATGGTGGTGCTCCTCCCGCGATGTGGAAGGGGATCCAAGACGGTTGACTGGCTGGTCCAACGCCTGAAGCCCAAGGTACTCGTGTCCGAGTTGAAGGCGATGCCCTCCGTCTCGCTGAGAGTCAAGTTTCCCAAGTTCAGCGTGGAGAGTACTCTCGGGGATGAATTCTAGGGCAAGGTAAGCGAACCTGGTATTTTGGGATGGTAAGCAAAGGGTCGTAGTTTACTGAATAAGGTTAGCAAAGACTGGAATTTTAGTGAATAAGGCTAGTTAAGTCTGGTATTTAGTGATTAAAGAATGGAATGACTTATATTCTAGCAAACAAGTAGATCAAGGATAGAGAGATAAAAAAAAAAAAAAAAAAAAAAAAGATGAATAGTAGATATTTCATATTAAATGTAATTGAATATTATCGGGTTCCTGTTGAACTCACAAATTGAGTTATAATCTGCCATCACAAATATATTATAAATGTGTGTGTGTGTGTGTGTGTGTGTGTGTGTATATATATATATATATATATATATATATATATATATATATATATATATATATATATATATATATATAATACCAGCAGGGAACTTTCCTCAATACAACTGGAGTAGCCCGCGGGATATTTGCTGTTTCAGTCTTACAGGCGGCCGTTTTGAATGATTAATTTAGCCAATACTTACGTTTTACATTCATCACTTCATTCTTATTTTTTTCTATTGCCTTTTCTATTATGTCATTCATATATATATATATATATATATATATATATATATATATATATATATATATATATATATATATATTAGAATGTATATATACATACATATTTATATGTATATATACATGTATATATATTCATATATAAGTGTGTTTATACATATATATAATATATATATATATATATATATATATATATTTAATAACTTATTGATTTATTTATATGTATATACATGTATACATATATGTATGTGTCCACTGTGCTGATCCCAAGGCCTGTCATAATTATTAGCCGGTGAAGTTAGGATCGTCATGAAAATAAAGTCATATATAATGTGTTACCATTAGGATCACCATTTAAAATGTGATAGGTAAAATCAACTTAACGTTCAATCACATAATACCAGTTTAAGAAACGTAATCCTGGGACGTTAGATGTAAACCTCTGTTGGCCCTCAAGATGGTGGCTGAAGGGAAAAATTGGCTCGCGAAGGGTTTCGAGCTTAGATATCATACCATTACTTCAGTAAAAGATTCTACGCATCTGGTTGCAAAATCGTTAAATATTGGTAATCGATATCCCTGAAAGATTAAACTTAGTCTTGCTACTATTTGAATTCTAAACTGAGAGAGCAATAAACGATTATTTAATGAAATGAAATACTGATAACCTATTAAAAACTGTTTTCTTCTTGTAGCGAAATCATGACGCAAAATACCTTTAAAAATAGCATCGTATCCACGCCTTCCTTCTCCAGACTTTACAGAAAATGGGAATACGTGACCTTTTCTCCTCCACCGCCGATCTGACCAACTTCACACCTGTTCGAGGAATCATGCTGAATGGAGCGATCCACAAGGCCCTTATAGAGGTGGACGAAGAAGGCGCAGAGGCGGCAGCGGCGACGGCGTTCGTTCTGAATAGGTCTCGTTCAATGCCTCCAAAGACGACGTTCACGTGCAACCGGCCCTTCGTTTTCTTCATTCAAGATAACGAGGCGAACAACATCCTGTTCATGGGGGTTTATAGGGGTCCTTGAGGGTCCTCTGCTGGACTTGTTATTATGGTTGGCACTGTTCTTCTTGATTTTAACGCTATTATTATCATTATTTTTTTATCGTTATTCTTACTGTTACCATTATTATTATTTTCTTGTTTTTATTCTCATTGTTATTATTAAAGGTATTATCATTGTTCTTGTTATTGTTGTCATAGGTATTATCATTGTTATTATCATTAAGATTATTATTATCATAATTATCATTATATTGAATATTAATTACATTCGATTGTTATTTTCTTATCCCTATTATTGCATTTCAACAATATCATTATTAATGTTATAACTAGTGTTACTATTTTTATTATTATGGTTATTATTATTATCATTACTACTGCTATTATTATTAACATTATTATTGTTATCATCGTTATTGCTACTGTTGTTATTGTTAGGGCCAAATTTTGTTAGTCTCCCCTCTTTTAAAACTAAACAAAAGTCATTATCATTACCTTCATTTCTATGCCCCTAACTATACCGTAAAGGACCACGTACTGAAGACCCAGAGGAAACCAAACACTCTTCACACCCCTTCTGCATAAAGGAAAGTAAGCTATGCCAGAGTAAATCCACTGATATCAAGTTGTTCAGATAAAGTAGTTGAGAGAAAATAAACCCTAAGAGGTAATAGTTATTAAAACCACTTGGAATCATAGTTATGTAGAGAGCATTTTAAAAAAAAAAAAAAAAAAAAAAAAAACGTGACCTGAGAATCAGATGAAGTATATCAACCTATTAAATCATAATCCTTCCTCACAAAAGATATATCGTTGTAAACCAGATTAATCCTACTGACGCTCCAGGTTGTTTAAAGAGTGAAAAGAAACAAGTGAAAAACATGAGCTAAGCTGCAATTCAGACTTTTTTAACACCAGATTCATCTTCCTGTAACGAAAATTTCATCAGTACTTTTCGCACATTGATGTCAATGTTCTGATAGAGGAGTAAAAGCTTTTTGAAGTATTTTCTTTGTAATCCACTTATTAATAAAGCTGCCATTCTTCCTCTTTCCAAGAAAGAGGGTTAAACAAACCTATTTATCGATCCTAGTAGTGACGTTTCTGAAACTTATGAATGCGCGTGTGCGTCAATGATCAGCAGAAACAAATATCGGCTGATCTCCCAGCGCGAGGTTGCCTTGAGTTGAGGCACAGGAAGCGGGATCGGCCGAACGAAGCCCAGAGTAATTTTACTGTAAAGAAATCGAGTGATGGGGCAAGGATGAGGATATGTCCGATATGCGAAGCTGAGCTTCGCCCGGCCTGTGCCGACTAATGTTGACTCGATCAACGTGTGTCAGCTAGTGCGACAGAGGTTAGTCCTTACCCACCGTGGTGCCAGCCACAGCAATTACCTCAGGGCGACAATTGCAACTTCTCACAACCTGGGGGGCGCGAACCGCCAACCCCTCGATGAGAGAGACCGGCGCGTTACCACTGTACTATCCTGAAAGGTTAATGAAAGGCAGGTTTTGGAGTATTTTATACCTAGGACATGATCTTGGGGGCCTGGATTTGACGGACGACCTGGGGAACTAGATGGTTTGGGAAAGCTTTGGGAACGTCATATGATTGCATCTGAATATAATAATTTGTTTGTTTGCCTTTTCTAGGAAATTTGACTGAAAACTTTGAATTTACTACAAATTCCAATAATGTGGTTTGTCAGAGGGTGACTATGGGATATCTTTGTCAAATATCATTAAAGAAAACAAAAACCAGGATTATTTTCTGATTTCCAATCCTATTAAAACTAACCAAACCACATTTTAAATCGTCATCTAGAGTATACTGTAGATTGAAGATGTGCATGTGTATATACATATTTTATGTATGTCATATATATGATGTATATTATACATACACACATAAATATAATGTATTGCACATATTATCATAATTCATATATTTTTACAAATATACCATATACATCATATATATCGTATGTCATATACATTATATATATATCATATAATATACATATATATATATATCATATATATATATTATATATTATATACTTTATATTATATATCATCCATTATATATATTGTTTCTATGATGTTATATTTTATTATATATTTATGTTATACATGTGATATATATATTGTATATATATTTATTATATACATATATTATATATATATATTTATATATATATAATAATATATTATATATATATATATATATTATATATTATCTATATATATATAATATATATATATATATATATATATATACATATATATATGTATATATTGATTTATATTATAATATTATATACATTATTCCATATATTATATACATCATATATCACATACAGGTGGTCCCTTGCGAACTTCCGAGTTACGAACTTCGGTACATGCGAACAAAGTTGTCAGGAGGGAGTGAGAGTAGTGCGCGCCTAAACAATAGCTCTCTCACTGACCCACACGGTCTCATTCAAACGTGTGTTGTACGCTCTCCAGAAAACTTTGTGATTTTGTGATTATTTTTGTAATTATATTTTGCTAATTACGTAAAATAAGAAGTT